TCTCGAGCCGGTCACCTCGCCCATAAAAGATGTTCGCATGCTAAGACTGAACGGATCCTTTCCTTCATTTTCTTCCGACGGCGAACTCATGGCTATGAATCCTGATTTTGACGGGAAGGGTGGCGTCAGCATAGTCAAAGCAGACGGGTCAAAGCGGTGGACTTTAATCAAAGGCCGTACAGCCTTCTACAACTCTTGGAGTCCGGTTGAAAAGAACGTCATCTACACGTCAGTCGGTCCCATCTTTGCGACTGTTAAAGCAACGGTTCAGATCGCACGCATCACGTTTGAACCCAGCCATCTGGACGGTGATCAAGAAGAAATTCCCTGCGATGTAAAAATATTGACAATAGAAGAAACAGGGAATAACGCCTTCCCTGCTTGCTCGCCGGACGGAAAATCAATCGTGTTTCGATCTGGGCGATCTGGGTACAAAAATCTGTACATGCTTGACGCCGTTAACGGAGAGTTCAACGGCGGCATACGTCGTCTAACAGAAGGACCGTGGATCGACACGATGCCAAGTTGGTCCCCTAACGGCGACCTCATTGCATTCTCGTCCAATCGTCATAATCCAGACAATCCCGAAACGTTCAGCATGTACGTGATGAAAGCGGACGGATCTGAGGTCAGAAGGATCCACGTGGCGGGGGCTGAGGGAACGGAGGACGTGGATAGAGAGAGGATCAACCACGTGTGCTTTAGCGGAGATGGGAAGTGGGTGTTGTTTACTTGTAATATGGGAGGGGTGAGCGCAGAGCCGGTGTCGTGGCCGAATCAGTTTCAGCCATATGGAGATCTGTACATGGCGAGAGAAGATGGGGGTGGAGTGAGGAGGATGACGTGGAATGGGTATGAGAATGGGACGCCTACGTGGCGTCAAGGAGGTGAGGTGGAGATGGGGAGTGTGTGTTTGGGGAAGGAGAGGCTGAGAGGTGAATTTGATGACCCATTGTGGATATCGTGTGATATTTAATCGATTTCTCTCACCTACCAAAAGTGTATGGGTTTGTTGTCCAAATAAATAATTCTTAAAAATTTGATGCAATATAAATTTCTTACCCTTTTTTTTTTTTTTACCGTGTGCAAATCCTTTTGATGATGATAGTTTGCTTCTAATATTGTATTAATTGAATATAATAAAATCTACATGTCCAAAATTGGAGTCAAATGTATTTAGACACTTATATTTGCCGACAAACAAATATTAACAACCTCTATGATTACGTTTTCTAATTTCTTTATTTTTTTATTTTTTTGAATTATTTGTTCAAAACTGATTTTTTTATCATTATTTTAAATTGTTTTTTTTTTTTTTACCTCTAAACACTGTCTATTGGATAGAAATTTAATTGTTTGGAAAACTATGTATAAATGTAATCAAATTCATATAAATTAGGAGAGGATATAAATTGGTAGCAAGATAAGTCCTCAAATCCTTTCATTTGAAAAACAAAAAACAAAAAAAAGAAAAATTGAAACCAATTAAATGATCATAATGTTTTATAAAAATTAAAATTCTTAATTAATGGAGGAAGTAATAAGATATCAAAATAGATGATAGATTCATTTTATACTTAAAAAATTGCAATATATATATATATATATATATTATGATAATAAGATTTCATATAAGTTCGTATTTTCATAAAGTAAATTAAT